CCCCCCTCCTCTCTCTCTTCTCTCTCTCTCGTTTCTCCATACCCACCCCCGTTCCCTCCTCGCCTCCTCTAACTTTCTGTCACTGGCGCTTCCTCCGTTTTCGCCGCCCCTGTTCGAGCTCTCTTAACACAAGGGTCCGAAGAGGATGGGCAGACGACGTCTCAAGGCTTTCTAAAGCCGGCAACTTCTGCCTGAAACTGGCTGCTCACTTCACGTATTGATTTCCATTCTCTTACGCCTTCCAGTCCTCACGTTCCTCGTCCGCCTCACCGTGTCCTCCGGGTCCATCGTTCGTTGCTTTCGCGAGATGCTTCGCTCCTTCGCCGCGAGATCATAATTTCTGTCCCTTGACATCCTAATAATCGTCGTGTAACTTCGCTAAAACACTAAGCTAAAGAGAAGCATCCAAACGTGATATCTTTATCCAATAATTCGTATACTTTCTTCTTAATTTTTGCTATTTAGTTGCTATTTAATTTGCTTATTTTGCTACCCTTTGAATATGCCACAGATCATGTAGATCCCTTTGACAGAATATATATTGGAAAATGTTGAATTTAATTTTGTAGATGGACTTATTCTAAAAGGAATACAAAAGAATCAAGAAAATATATTAAATAATTAAAAATGTATACATAATTTTCAGAGAAATAATTAGAATTTGTTTCTTCTTCTTCTTTTTGTATACACGATGATCACAATAATTGTTAGTCTTTTGTTCTGAACATTGCAACTAACACATTCTATTTGCTTTTTACGAATCGAACAAATCTAGCAAATCTCATAATCGGTTATATCAATTAAAAAAAAATCTTTTCCCACATATTCCAAAACCATTTTTAAATTTCCATTTTCAATATTTCAAACAAATAAGAAAACAAAAACAGAAACACGTTTTTTATTAACGAATCACTATATCGTAAAGGATTTTAATTTTCTTGCTAAATTTAGACGTGTTATGATTGCGTAAGAGCTCGAATATTATTCCGGATTTACAATTTCAATTATTTATTAAAAATAATTATTTTTATTTTGGTCTTCTGCCAAATTCTCATCAAACCCTTTTACTTACATACAAAGCGTTACATGCGCTTTGAACAATAAATCATGAAACATATTACACAATTGTCAGTGTAACCACGAAAGCCTCTAGAAATAATTGCTAATTCTATTTAAGAATCCGTTTAACAAGCTGACGATTCGGGTTTCCTTTGGCGCGAAAAAAATTCCGCGAAAATTCTCAGGGCGGATTAAACGCCGCGGTGGTGGAAATCCACAAGTGAGGAAGCGATCGGAGAGTCTTGCGGGGTGCTCGAAAATCCACGAGTTATCTGACCGAGTGCAGCTCAGTGGGGTGTGTAGCGTTAAGTTGGCGTTAGCTCATCGAATCGCCTCGGATGGAGCGACCACCGTCGCCACCGCCGCCACCGCCGCCACGGTGCCAAGAGACGAAGGTTTGTTTTGATCGATCGCACGTACAAATCGTATTTCCGGTCTCGCCTCGCAGACGATGACAAATCCGCCCTCCCTTATTTTCCCTCCCTGCGGCGTAGCCGCGCGCGGGGAGAATCACCCATCGCCCAGGAACGTCCTGTCTGTGTTCTTTATGCGTACTTTGCACCAAGCCGTGATAACTCAAGTAGCAAATTAAGTGCTTACCTCTTTCGTTACGTTTTCGTCGAGAGAGATAAGCGAATAATTTGTAGCTCATTTTGCTTTCTCATGAGCTTCTGTGTGTAATCTCGCCATTGCGATGCCGAACACGTAACGCCATTTCTCTATCTAATTCAAAGCGTTTTATATTTATGATCGTAAAACAATCGCGTTTAACAATGGAATATTATATAATTGTTATTCTATTATGTAAAAATATATATAAAGGGAATATTGATTATTAAGTTCATTTATCTCGTAAAGTTATCAAAGTAAAATAGGAAAGTTACGGGATTGGTAATTAGAATGGCGTGGGCAGAAAGCATTTTTATATCACGCTAATTTAATTTTTCTGTGGGTATAGTTAATACTAAGCGAAGGAATTATTTTTACTTTGGTGATTCTATTACGCGAGAGAGGAAATTTAATAAAAATAATTCTTGGGTATTTTGTAGTTAAATCGTTTAAAAGCGCACTCGAATAGTTTTAATTTAAAATACCGTTGTTTTTATTTTGTATGTATATGTATATTTACTATTTAAAAAAAAAACAGAACGAAATGATTTGATTTGTAAAAACAGGATTTGCTCTTCCTCATGCAAATGGTAAAAATATTTCATCAGCATGCATTATGCAATTTAAGTTTAATTGATCTAAAAAAAATTACTGCAAAGAATAGAAAGTTGTCATCTGATTGGTTACTTTATAACTGCAAAGAATAGAAAGTTGTCATCTGATTGGTTACTTTATAACAATGTAAGCACATGATAATCGATATGATAATATCGATATTTTTGCGTTCATTTTTTCATTTTCGTATCGCATGTAACTCGCTTGAATTTCTGCGCGTTGATATAAATCATAATTTGCAAACAAAATAAATAGCGTATTTCGGTTTTCTTCGTCATTCCAGCGTCATTCTGTACATATTTGTCACGTAAATTAATCCGACATTACCGTAAAGTATTTCTATGTGTCGCTTCAGCCCGCGAAAGAATTTCACCGGGCGATTCGTACGTTCTTCATAAATTTTTCAATCACATATTTGCGGACAACTTTTACAGAGTTGCAAAGCTACTCGATGGCATTTCCGGTGTGGAATATCTACGAGATAGTATTTAACAAAGTTTTCACGACCGCGTTGGGGAGGGTTAACGCTTCAAACGGCGTTCTGCAACTTTCGAACTAACGATGGTCTCTTAGCCGTAATTCCTGACAAGAGTTTCCAAAGTTTGGCAAATCGTCGCGTTTCCGCACATTTGTCCTGCTCCGTCGCGTAAAACGAGGAGGCGCGCCTAGTACTTGTCGCGAGTAATCGCGCGCGTAACTCAGCGATCAAATTTCCGAAATGCGAACTATCCTCGCAGTTGTTCCATACGTTTCTTCTTGATTACCGTGCAAATAATACCTCGCCCTCTTTCACATTGCGTAACATTGCGTTTTTTTTTAAAGAGTTTAGTTTAAATTGTAGGCGATATTCACGACAGACCTAAATTGAGACGATCGAAAATTGAAGAATTATTTATTATAGATATTTATATGTAAGAATTTATCATAATTTAATATTATATATGTTAAATACTTTTTTAAATTATTTTATGATTAAATATCGATTTGTATTGA